AAGATTGATTCGAACGTTGCCGGATGCATCCACTTTTTCCAGATTTGATTCGACTATGCATCGTGTGGTTCGTTCCAGCACGTTTATGTTTCGCTTGCCAACCGTTAACATGTACTCCGCCAAATTTTTGGGAATTCTCATTTCTAGGACACATGGAGCTTCGCTGACATCTTCCAAATGGATGTCTGCAGCAAAACAGAAAAAACAGCGTACTAAAACAAGCAAGTTCGGGAAAATCATGGAATGTGGATAGTTCTGAGTATTTTGATGCTTCAACCAGTTTTTGTTTCAGGGAACAGTCACCGTGACAGTCCTTTCAGCGATAATTTGAATTTGAGAAGCCTGATTTGAGAAGCCCGCAGTACGGCAATGTGTTCCACTGGGTTAACAACAGTTTTGAAATCTACTAAAAGCAAGTGTGATGGTTGAAAGTGAAAAATCGCTTTTTGAAATCTGGTTTTTCTTTAACTAGGTCTTTCTGACTTCACTGTGCGGGAAAAATCGTATATTTGTGAAAACAAGCACAGTGGAACATGATTTTCTTGGTTCACCTCTCCTTTTGGATCTCATCCATTCTTCCGGTATCTCTTCTACTCCATGGCACGAGAAATACGAAATTTTGCCTTTTGTTCATTAACCAAAGTTTTATTCTGAAAGCTTTCTTGAAACTCATTGCATCTGCTGTATTTCGCAGCTAGCGTGAGAGATATAGGTAGTGCAGAGAGATCAAAATAAGAGTACCAAAAACGAACAAAAAAAAAAGATCAAAACTTTTAATCATGGCGCATAGGACTCTTTTTTTCTTCACCGTTTTCTTTCGTTCCTCTCGGTTCTTGACGGAAATAAAAAATTTGAAAGAGCTTTTTAAAAATTGTTTTAGAAACTAACTGTTGTCCGGAAATCCACCACAAAGCGCTGATATCACTTTTTTATATGCCTTGCTAACTACTGTTCCTTTCCCAAAGATACCGACACGGCCGTTCTGATCCGTCTGTAAAATATGGTGCTGGAAAGGGAGGAGATTTCACACTACCTTTAATATAACTCTAATAAATTGCAGAAATGAACTAGCTTGGCCGTATTATTTGCGCACTGAGCTGTTGAGAACACAGAACCAGTTGTATATCTATTTACGCGTGTTTAAATGATAGATCTGAGGATCATAGCCTCGACAAGCAAGACTCCTGTTCCACGTTCCTGGCTACCGCAGTTCTGAACTCCAATTATCGAAACAGAAATGTATTTATGCACAGACTTACGTTCCTGCAAGGCCTGTGCATTAAAGCAATGTTTGTAAAACATAGTAAGAATACCAGGAACAAGCGGGGAATTGATGTTAGTAATGTTACTAAGATGCTTGCTACTGCAATTTCGTAATTACCTGTACTCGATATCTGAAACGGCTACTGGTTCACCACTGAATCATATTTCGTGATTTCCGCAGTTCTGTTGATTTTAGATTATTTGGATCTCACTATGTTAAACACCGAACTTGCGCTGATCAGTAAAAAGTCATTAAGCACTCGATCGTGAAAAAGGGAAGGGCAGCCCATTCTTCAAATTCGCAAATGATGGAAGTATAGCAGGCTTACTGTTAGCTGCATAAGTCCTGTGAGCCGTAAAATGCTTTTTGAGTGCAGCTGAAGAAATGCTGCTTCGGCTGGAGAGACTTTGAAGAAGAACTGATAATCGGATTCATCGACCAACTTGCACATTTCCAGTGCACTGGAAATTCCACCTCGACTAATTTTTGCTCCAAGTTTGAAGATGAGAGACTTGTTATGGAGCAACTATATCATACCAGACATGAATTTATGATTTGTATAAGGATACTGATGACGAGACATATAAAATACCAAAATGTATTAAAAAGTTCCATGAACAGGAATGTTTCGGTTCACATTTCTATTCAACGCAACGGGACCTCGTCGGCAGGGCGGCTGTTGTGCAAATGTATAAGAGGATAATGTAGAATAAAAAAGTACAAACTTTTGTAGGGGGTTGCATTCTTGAAAACCAGGAAATAGGTAATAATTACAAATAATGAAAAAGAGAGAAATGGAAATAAAAACTGGCCAACGTGATTTACAGTTAAGAGTCAAAACCCTCATCGTATTTCACTCGCTGCAGTATGCGGAAACACTCAGAA